ACATATAGGCCTATTTAAAATGGAATTAAATAAGTACTTTGAGTGTCTTGTTCATTATATTTATTTTCATATTCAGAAACTGCGTTGCAAATGATAAGATCTTCATTCTTGTGATCAACAGACTGTCATCTGCTCAATGCTCATCACGGCAACATTTTATGTGATGGGAATAGATCTAAATACTTTAAAAACATCTCACGATTTGTTAATCTCGATAGCTGTAATAGTAAAAACGTATAATATCTGTAGTAAAAGTATTCGAGAGAGTTTCACATGTAATACGAAGCTATTTCATATGCAAGCAGGTCAGCCAATCACAGCAGAGGCCGGTTACACACAGCAGACACGCCCCTTGAAACAGAGCGTTCACATCAGAGGCTAAAATCAGGCTAGGAAAAATCCCTTTTATTTCTAAATTATGACTACCGGTATTTATGATCTAAAAAACATACTAACATTATAAGGGCAACCCAGAAAACAGTATACAATAAAAATAAAACCATTCTAGGGCACCTTTAACCTCTTGTCAATCTGACGTCATTGACCAGAAGAACAACAGCAGCCGACCAATCGGATCACAGCTTCAATAGAATCACAACCACAGATGTGGACTTCTGAAGGAAAAAAAAAGTTATTTAAAAAAAAAAAAAATCGTGTGTTTCAACAGGCTGATTTTAGTCAGGATCACAACAATTCTCACTTTGAATGAGAACATTTAAGGTGAACTATTTCCTTACAGGGGTCATGACATGTTTTTTTTATTTTAATTTTATTTTTTATTATGTTCCCTTAGGTGCAATTATAGTATTACTATAGTTTTTTGTACTAAAAAACTTTAAAAATGTAGTGATTTATGACCTTTTCCCACCCTGTTTCTCCCCCTCTGATGTACAGTCTGTTTTGGAGGTGTTTCCCGTTTAAGAGTTCAGTGTTAACGCCCACTGTTATGATTGGCTAACGTCAGTGCTGCTTATGCATAAATTATTAACGTTAATAATTTTTTATCACATGTAGGCTACACAATGCTCCACCACGTGAAACTTCGGTCTTCCGATCTTTTATCATCGTGTCAATTCTCAATTGATTTTGATTCATATGCGTGAGGGAGGGAGAGAGAGAGAGAGAGGGAGGGAGAGAGAGAGAGAGAGCAAGACAGTTCGGCCGGCTCTCTCTCTCTCTCTCTCTCTCTCTCTCTCTCTCTCTCTCTCTCTCTCTCTCTCTCTCTCTCTCTCTCTCTCTCTCTCTCTCTCTCTCTCTCTCTCTCTCTCTCTCTCTCTCTCTATATATATATATATATATATTAAAACCTAATATCGCCACTGAAGTACCTGCATGTGCCTGACAGAGTTCAGTGATGTTTAGATGTTCACATTTTGTTGATCCTGATGATGAAGATGAAGAAAATAAAACATGAGAGAAATAAGATTTAATCAGAATAAAGTGTATATTCCAACGTCAGCCAGCCAATGTGTGTGTCATTACGCACTCAACGATGAGGCCAATACTGATACTGACAGTCTTGGACGAGTCAATTGCTATACAGCAATAGCTTCCATCTAAAGTTGCACATATAACAAAATTGGAATATTGCTCAAAAAATTTGCAAATAAAGCACCGTTTCCATCAAGTGAGTCGAAGAGAGTAAAATTGACTGTGGGCTGTGGGCTCTAGTCCATGACGACTTTTGTGGATTGCCTCATAGGGCCGGTTCAAGTAGTGGGGGACAGAGGGGCTGGGGGGCAAGTCAAAGGGGGGTGGCGGGCCTGAGTCGGCCCGCAGGCCTTAGTTTGGTGACCTCTGCCATAGACAGCAAAAGAAATGGACACAGCGACCCCATTGATTTCAACGGAGAAAATTGAAGCCCGTTAAAAGCTGGTAGCCAGGCGTACTGCGCAGGCTCAAACTGAGCTTGACAATATATGTCACGTGAGCAACCTGTCTGTCTTCTAGTAGCTGTGCCGAGATAAATCTGAATAATTCCCTTCCGAATCTCACAGAGACGAAGAGTGTGAGTATTAGCTGTCCATGAACTAGCAGCAGGAGACACTTTATGACTCTCTATGGGCTTCTCCCTTTACTTTATCAGACTTTATGCCTCCACGTCCCCGGGAAATAATAATAATAAATAATAATAAATAATAATATAATGCGGGAAATTCCCGCAAACATTAATTCACTTTAGCATGTAGGTTGTATTAGTAATTAATCCACACAGATTCTAAAATCAAATCAGTCATTATAAAACTGTCTGCGAGACGCAATGTCACAAACCGCTTGAGTGATTCAGCGGTGCTGCGGCTTCTATCCATAGATATCCACAATAAAGGCTAGATGTCTTATGGCGGAGTCTTTATCGTCATCACCGGCGGCCATCTTGTCACAGGCTAGCTTTCTGGAAGATTCTGTAGTACCTGATGTAAGGTGAGAACACAAATACTCTTATCTCGCTGAAATCTTGGCAGATTTACAAACGGTTTGGTTTCTTACTTACGTTATTAATGTGGCTATAATACTGGATGTTTACATAATTTATACATAATTATTCAGAAGTGTGCAGTGTCATAACTACATCTCTGACGTTTATGACGAACCAAACTGTTTGAAAATCGTTAGAAAATTAAGCAAGTTATGGTTATTTAAAAAGTACATGCACCATAAAACACAATGTTACGAGTGAGCGAGCAGCCTGTAACAAGATGGCCGCCAGGTGCTGACGTCGACCTCCATTGGCCAACAGCGCGGACAAGACATCTAGCCTTTATTATTGATATCTATGCTTCTATCTCTCGTCTCTCAAGATGGGTTGCTCAAGGCAGTCGTTCAGCGCTGCAGAAGGCGATAATACACTCTCTCGCGTTTCGGGAGTCGGGATAGACGGAATTGTCACTTGGACAATCGGGCCAGCATTGCATGAGTAACTAAAGTTTACCATTTGCATGTTTTTTAAGTCTTACCAGTTTAAACATTCACGCGATCTTAAACTATTTGGTACATGCGCGCTGTCTGAGAGATGTTTTTTTTTTCTCTGCACACGCTGCACACGCCTCACAAACAGCTTGCGGGTAACACAAATTATTTTTCATGGATTATATCGCTTTAACAGTCAAAAACATGCGAAAATGATGTCAATTTCAGGTCTTGGTGAGTATCCTCTAAAATGGCTGTGTCTTAAGCATACATCGCACGTGACCGTATAATGTTGGTGCTACAGGATCTGTGCACTAGCTCTTACAGTGACAGCAGCCTTAAAGCAACACCAAGGAACTTTTCCTCTGCGGTCGCCCTACTGGTTGGAAGCGGAATTGTTCATTGCCGCTGTCGTAAATAATTTAGCCTACCGCAGCCTACTGTCGCACGCACGCTCGCTGTTTATCCAGCACCGGCTTTGGAATGAACGATGTCCACAGACAAGGTAGAGTATGTTACATGATTTCATGAAATGATGATGTATTGCGACATCAGAAACGAAGAAAAGCAAAATAATGACTATTGTAACGCTTGACGTAAAGCAGTCGAATTTTGTAGTTCTTTTTGTGCTCGGGTTCCTACCCGAAACCTGAAGTTACATAGTGTCAGTAAAAGCGATACAGACCACGTCAAGCTATGGCAGACGTGTCATTTAACCTATTGTAAGTCGATGTACCATCACAAGGGTCTTGGAAATATATTAAGGTTGAAAAAGCTACATAGTGTTGCTTTAAAGTCTGTCATTAATTTGGTTGTCAAAACATAGCTTTAATTTTAAGGAATCAGGATTAATAGCCTATGTATTTAATTTAGTCAGGACTAAAATACTACCCAGTGTTATTTTACATTTGATTACTTTATTCAGTCTCTGTATTTCTGAATACTAGTGTCACTTGTGTTTAGTGTCAATTGGTAAGTGACAAGGTTTTATGGACTTATAGTATAGCTTCGCAAGTTGATTGAGTTATAGGCTAATGTCACCGGTAGCTACCGCGATGACTTACCTGGAGACTCAACCAGATAACAATAGTCTGGAAACGACACCTCCGGCCATTTGGTTGGGTCATTGACCCAGTTTTTAATTAAATAAGGGCAATCATAACAGTTCATTTTGCAATGTACCATTGGCGGTCGGCAGGCGTCAATGACATTATATGACATATTATAGCAATATGACATTTTTGTCATTCAAATACATACGATGGTCGCGGTGTTTTCCCCCATGCCGACTCCGCCCTCGCCACGCCCCCAACTATGACTAGATGCTGACTTTATGTATTTGCCGCTCATTCATCTGAGATTTTCCTGTGGGGTTTTAAAAATGGGATTTTCCATTTAGGAGTAAAATAAAGCCTGTGGTAAACATGACTTGACCATACTTTAATGTTTTGTTCCACAACACAAATTGCACATATCCATAGTGAATTTGAATTTGAAAACGTGAATTGTGTATGTTCGTTTTTGATATATGTATGAACATATGTTTTTCATAAGTATATAAGACCGTTAAGTGTAAGAAAGTGTGTGCATTAACATTGTCGTGTATACTATAGGCCTACTACTGATTTCCAATAGCAGAAGAAATATAAATTAAACACCATAAAAGCCATTTCAATTTAATTATTGATATGTCCCTCTGAATGTTATCTCACCTTATTAATATTTAAAACTGCATCGTCCCTCTGAAAATTAATTAAATAATATCCACAACCAATATAACAGCAGCTTAATAATCTTTTATCCTGTCATGTATCAATGATTGATCAATGATTGATACAAATGGATGATCCATTTTGATGAACAAAATCAATTTTATTAATGATTATTTTGAGGTCATAAAGATTCATAAAAATGTTATTAATGGGGTTTTAATTAGGGGAACTTCCGACTACTTGATCAAACATTTTATAGATGTTAGATATAGATTTAGGAAGGAATATAGGAATATAGATTTCTAAATATTTCCAAAATAGTCTTGAATAAAGACAGTGAAAAAAACATTAATATTTTATATGAAATGTTGACTTTAAAACTATCTAAAACATAAGTAACTGGATAAATTCAATGTTTCTGCTCTGTTTTGTTTTATCATCCTCTTCCAGCTCTGATGTCATTGACCAGCAGAACAGCAGCAGCCGCAGAAGCCACGCCCATCAGCGCAGTGACGACCAATCGCAGCACAGCTTCAACTGAATCACAACAGGGGGCGTGGACTTCTGGAGAAACTAATGAAACAAATGATAAAATAGTATTGTGATTTTAAACAAGCTGATTTTAATTCTCTGTCAAGAACTCAGATATCCTCAAATATATCTGCAAAAACTCAAACCTGTTTAGAATGACATGAGTAAGTTTTCATTTTTACATTAATAATGCTTTAATGCACAAATTGCCCATATGACCACTAAGGTACCTGCACATGTCTGGCACAGTTCAGTCATGTTAACATGTTCACATTTTGGCAATCCTGATGATGATGAGAATGGATCTCTGCTGGTGACAGGATCAGGGATAGGAGCTGGAAAACATGATAAAAATAAAAAATCTATTTATTTCCTTTATTTATTTGGATGGGACAGTGCATATTGATGAACGTACAATATAAATTGACGTAAATGCGCTGGATTTAGAAACCACATGTTAACTGTGTGAAACTCACTCCACATTTACATTTAGTCCTTTAGCAGATGTTTTTATATACACATCAACAGCTGAGCATCACAAGCGCTTTATCACAGAAGTTATTATAATAAGAGTCATCACATAAATTATATAATAAAAAATGAAAACAGTGTAAAATGGATGGTATCAAAGAATAAAATGACGTATTATCGTTGTGGCCACTAGATGGCCCAATACACCAGATTAATCTAATAATCCTTTTCCAATCCAGTTCAGAGAGAGAGCATTGGTTCACAAAGCTTGTTTCACCATGACTACATTTATGCTTTTAGCAGATGTTTTTATCCAAAGCGGATTACAAAACTGGAACATGAATTCATCAAAGTGCCAACAATCGTTGCAGTTTACAATGCCAGGTTTATTGGATAAGTAAAGTAGATAAACACGGAGAGAAGTTTGGGCAAGCCTGTGTCCTAATAATAATAATACATTTTATTTAGAAAAGTGCCTTTCAAGGTACCCAAGGAAGGACACTGTACAAATCGGTCAAATTAAAGACCTACTAAAACACAATGCAGCTAAATCCTTGACTGAATTCACTGATAGTACGAATCAGATTGGGACATAGATGTAAGGACTGAGCGTAGGGTGAATCTGAATAACTAAATACATCCTTTCTAAAGTCCCAAAGCCTTCAGCCCCAAAAAGCCTGGAATGTAAATTAACACACACACACGCATCCCCCACAAGTGAGCGTGGTGTCCAGTTACAGAAATCTTATGACGGACTGGAATGTCCCAAAGGAAGTGAATCCTACAGCGAAAAGGAACTTCTTTTCTTTAAAAGACATTTAACCAGATATATTCAATGTGTTTTATGTGTGTTTGTTGAATTGTACGAACAATGTATCCAATCTCATCTTACGATTTGTCTTTTAGGTGTTTGATCTATGTTGTTGGGAAACTCTAATGGGATAAGGTTTCAAACTTTGCAAACTATGAGTAACCAACTCCATGTGAGGCAAGTTTGGATTCTCTGAGCTCCAATCTTCGTTCCACATTTAGCCATGTATATCACATCTTGCTAAAACTGTGTGACGCATAGGACTATAATAATTGTGAAGATTCTGCTCTTAAACACCCGACGAAATTAGGGTTTTAAATGTCTCTCTCTTAGACAAAGAGCAATAAAAACCGAAGTCCCGTCTGTGAAATTCCAACCCTCTAATTGGCCAAGCCAACAGGAAGAGGCTGGATTTCTCCAAGTTGATAAATGACGTTTCCTCACTCTTCCCTTCCTGTCCTCGTTTCATAATGTAGCATCTCGCCTCCGGGCGAGCTCTTCGCCTTTCTTTTATTTGTTTCTAGTTTAGTTTGTGTTTTTCAGTTTTAGACAAGTCTCCGGGTTTAATTCCGATCGACAAGTGAAAAGAGCACCGCGTGACATATCTCTTCAGCAAATCCAACTACAAGGGACCTTTAAACGAGCGCGCGCTCGCTTTGAAGGAGAAACACGCGCACGTGACCGCGTGACGCGCCGCACCGAGAGGCACACACGCACTTCTTCACCAGCCATGCAAAGATGTAACGTTAACTCCGCGTGATTTCCCCGTAGAGATCTTTATTTCTTTGTTAGTCAAAGTTTTGTTTTCCGTAGTCGACTCAGTTCACTTCCACGAAGTGAAACGAACTTAGCCGAACTATTTTCCTTGGGTAATGTTACCCCAAAGACTTTGAACCTCCGTTCAACACAAAGGACTCCGCTCACGCATGCGGCCAGACAGGGCCGCGCAGGAATGCCGCGACACAGAGTGACCAAGAAACTTGTGCAAGTATATCTCTTTATAGAGCTTCTAAGAAGCATTAAGAGGATGTTTTTCGTGTTGTTACAGACAGGTGACTGTCCGGGTGAATGTTGCCAATGCTCTCTCTCTCTCTCCCCCTCTCTCTCTCTCTCATACGTGTTTCCATTGTCCAAACTCTATGCATTTCTCGTTCATCGATGCCTTATCGTGTTTGTTTGTTTATTATGTTTGTAAATACATATATCCCATGTAACCGTAATAAATACATAGTTCTGCCGTATTAAATTCATTATATTCATGTTGATTGTTTACTGGCTCTTTGCTCATTTTCAAGTCCCTTAAGTGAAAGATCTTTAGCTATAAGCTTACAAATTAACGATACTTTAAAGAGTATTTGTTTATAGGGCAGGAAACCCAATTCTTGTGGCCACAGAATTGCTTTTCCTAAAATCCTATAAAGTAAGATGATATTGTGAATCCCACAAATATTATCGTGACAATTGAGCTAATTAATTTTGCCTGTTTTGTAGAACGTGGTCCGTGTAATTAATTGCAATCAACTTGTGGTTAATTGCAGGGATACACGTGCATGCATGCAGATAAAATGACATATCATCCCTTATCGGGAGATTTATTAACATGTAAGACTGATCTAATCCAAACATGTATGAATAATTATTAATTACCAATTATTAATTATGATATGCAAATTCCCCATGGATTAGATCCGCCCTTGAGTCTTTACATAGATAACATACAAAGTCCATAAAATGCCAAAAAACAGGAAACAAACACACTCAAAGGGCATACAGGAGTATACTGAGCACAAGGTGAAAAAAAAGAAAAAAAGATAAGACTGTAAATTGAAATCAAGGAGCTGACAGGAAAGCTAAGCAAAAAATATATGTTTTTGACTTAGTTTTAAAAATGGATATACTTGTGCTTTGGCGCATCTCAAGCGGCAGGGCATTCCACAGTTTAGGACCTGCCGTACTGAATGCCACCCATGGAGCGAAGCCGAGATGCGGGGACTGCACAGAGACATGTATCAGTAGAGCAAAGGGTGCGGGATTGCAGGTATGGGATGAGCAGATCTGAGAGGTAGGATCGGGCCAAATTATGTAGGGATTTATAAACAAGGAGAAGGATTTTTTAATGAATGCGGTAATGGACAGGAGGCCAGTGCAACTGCTGGAGGATATAGTAATATGATCCCAGGGCCTGGTGCGGGTGAGTAGTCTTGCAGCAGAGATTTGGACATACTGAAAGCCTATTTAAGGTTTTTTCCGGGATGCCGTGAAGTAGAGCATTGCAGTAGTCAAGCCTTAATGTAATAAATGCATGTATAAGTGTTTCTGCTGCAGATGAGTTGAGGGAAGGGCGAAGTTTGGAGATGCTTTTAAGATGGAAGAAAGATGTTCTGGTGATATTTTTAATATGTGACTCAAAAGAAAGAGTAGGATCAAAGATTACGCCCAGATTTCTAACTTCAGCAGAAGTTGTAGTGAATTAGTCAGGGATAGATAGTTGCAGATTTTCAAGTTTTTTTTTTATTTTTATTTTTTTATATTAGGGCTGGAAATAAGAATAGAAAATGTTGAGTCATCCAGTTGTTAATGGCATTTAAGCAGCTAACCAGATTGGATAATGATAAAGTGTGAGCAGGCTTGGTGTGAATGTATATCTGAGTTTCCTCTGCATGGTATTTGAGACCATAATGTTGTATTATCTGGCCAAGGGAAAGGATGTAGATTATGAACAGCATGGGACCTAGGCCAGAACCCTGGGGGACACCATGTGAAAGGGGTGAATTTGGAGATCTGAAATTCCCAATTAAAACAAACTCTTGTCTGTCAGGTATGATTTACACCAGGACAGTTTTGTTGGTTGGGTTAACTTGTTAATAGTGGAGAAGAGAGCTTTCGGGTTGTTATAAAACTTTGTCAATGATGGTTGTGTAATATATGGTCTCTTTGTAAATAGAAACATGTTCACTGTATTCCAGGGTATGCCAGGGCATGAACAGTTAGGCCGGTCTTCCGACTAAGTCGCTCTAGTCGGAAGATCGACGATTGACCGACTGACGATTCTGTTGTGGTTGGATGTATCAGTAGGGGTGACGAGACTGAGTATAGAGCTGTGGTGAGGGACTTTGTTACATGGTGTGATCGGAACCATCTGCAGCTCAACGTGACAAAGACCAAAAAACTTGTTGTAAATCTTAGGAGAACAAAGATACCAGTGACCCCTGTTTCAATCTGGGGGGTCCCTGTGGACATTGTGGAGGATTATAAATATCTGGGAGTGCACATAGATAATAAACTGAACTGGGCCAAGAACACTCAAGCACTTTACAAGAAGGGCCAAAGCCGTCTCTATTTTTTGAGGAGGCTAAGGTCCTTTAACATTGACAGGACGATGCTGAGGATGTTTTATGAATCGGTGGTAGCTAGTGCTATCCTACATGCGGTCGCATGCTGGGGTAGCAGACTGAGGGAGACAGATGCGAATAAACTGAATAAGTTGATCCGTAAAGCCGGTAATGTGGTGGGGGTTGAGCTTGACTCCCTATCGGTGGTGTCAAAGAGGAGCATGCTGTCCAAACTGAATGTCATCTTGGATAATGTCTCCCATCCACTATATGATCTGCTACTCAAACACAGGAGCACTTTCAGTGCAAGACTTATTCTACCAAAATGCACCACTGAGCGCCACAGGAAGTCATTTCTGCCAGTGGCCATCAAGCTTTATTATTCTTCCCTCTAAGTATCTGACACAGGAACCATTAGTTAGTTTTTAAATAGTTAATATTTTGGTTGCTGTGCAACATTATCTGTTTAATCTGATCTGTTTTTAAAATGAATGGGTAATATTCTCGTTGTTATTTATTTCCCTGTTCACTTGAACATTAGATTTAATTAATAGTTATTATAACAAATCCAAATAACGGGAATGTTTTTATATTTTTATTGTTGTTTATTATATATGTGGGCAATTGTGACAAAGAATTTCCCCTTGGGGATTAATAAAGTATTACTGAACTGAACTGAACTGAACTGAGGATCTAGCTGACGTCCAGCCGCCTTCATTTTATGAAGCTCAGGTGTAAACCAGTGGGCAGAGTGAGTGAAGGAGACTAGGCGTGTCTTCAGAGGTGCAAGAAGATTGAGAGAATCAGCAAGATGTGTCTTGTACAGCAGGACTAAGTCATCAATACCAACATCTAATGACTCTACGATGTTCATTGTGTTCCTATAGCCTATGTGATGGAGCGAGAGGCAAGTAGGCGATGGAGAGACTCAGGAACAGCAAGATTGAACATGATCCTATGTGTGCTAAACAATCAAGAGGAATATGTGATTGTATTGTATTTTTCTGCTAAGACAAACACCCTGCTCCTCTTGATTGTTTAATCAAGCCTGTGTCGTTAAAGTGTTGTTAAAAGCAAATATTGTGCAAACATCCTCTCCGGACATCACTTTTTACCACAACTATTTCAATCCCTGAGCAGGGCTCAAAGAACAGCCCATTTCAACAGGAGCTCGCGGTTTAGTTGTTAGCGTAGCCTTAAAAAAGACTTTAATTATAAACTTTTGCAGTTAAAAAGCATCTCTTTCCATTAATGACTATATAAAAGTGGTAAAGTTTCTTGGAGCCTTTTAATGGTGTCAGATAATCATGTGTTTTTCACAGTCTGCTGAAGGAAGTTTTAATATAGAGAATCAGTCACATGACATGATGGTGGCGGTAAGTATTTATAATGACACGCTAGCGGTTGCAACAAAGCTAGCAAAATTATTCACAGAATAACAAGAATTGTGTAAAATTCTTATAAATAACTTCTACTTAATCTTGCTCATCTGCAAGGTCTCAGCTTTAATATGCAAATCATGGACACAGAGAGATGCATATGCAGCTGAACATCCTTCTTATATTTAACATAGACATAGTAGACTATATTAATATTTCACATTCACAGATATCACAGTTTTTTATTTTATTTTATTTTTTTATCAGATATAAGCATTCACTGATTTTGTACTTTTTCCAAAGTAAACTGCTAATCATACGAGGAAGTTAAATTGTGGAAGTACTTTCAACCCCAGACGGCTCAAAGGAACACACACTCATGCTATTTACGCTTCAAGACATGCAAACACAAAAGCATATTGACCACAAACATCCACACATTCTAATGCACACACTCTCTATCCAACAGATGAAACTACATTCATATTCCATATCTGAAAATGAGGCCTTCTGTAGTTTGACCTGTAGAAAACAATACTGTAAAAATACATAAAACATTTTTTTTTATTAAATATGTACTGTCATTCTGCAAATTGTATTACTTAAAGTGTCCCTATTATGTTTTTTTTAAAAGGTTCATATAATTGTATATTGTCTACAATAGATTTACATGCATCCAATGTCAAAAAACACTTTAATTTTGAACATGAACATTGAACATGAACATTGAACATTTATTCGAAGATTCATTCTCTCTAAACCCAGTCTGTTCAGATTGGTCTACTCTGCTCTGATTGGTCAGATGACCCAGTCTGTTCAGATTGGTCTACTCTGCTCTGATTGGTCAGATGACCCAGTCTGTTGAGATTGGTCTACTCTGCTCTGATTGGTCAGATGACCCAGTCTGTTGAGATTGGTCTACTCTGCTCTGATTGGTCAGATGACCCAGTCTGTTGTGATTGGTCTACTCTGCTCTGATTGGTCAGATGACCCAGTCTGTTGAGATTGGTCTACTCTGCTCTGATTGGTCAGATGACCCAGTCTGTTGAGATTGGTCTACTCTGCTCTGATTGGTCAGATGACCCAGTCTGTTGAGATTGGTCTACTCTGCTCTGATTGGTCAGATGACCCAGTCTGTTGAGATTGGTCTACTCTGCTCTGATTGGTCAGATGACCCAGTCTGTTGAGATTGGTACTCTGCTCTGATTGGTCAGATGACCCAGTCTGTTGAGATTGGTCTACTCTGCTCTGATTGGTCAGATGACCCAGTCTGTTGAGATTGGCCTACTCTGTCTGTTGCCACTGCAGCAGACTCATATTGCAGTATTAAGGTGTTGTGGCAAAACTTCTGTTAAACATCATCACTGCATAAGAGACACTCAGAGTCAAATTAATAAAAAGAGAAATATGTTATTCTTGCAAGAATAGGCCCAGTCGCCATCACAGCAGTTACCCTGTGAAGTGAGCAACAGGAAGACATGAGACAGCCTTTATACTCTTTTCAAGGTTCCTCCTCGCCCGCTGTACCTTTCACCCACTCAGATAAGGTCCCCAATTCTGTTCAGTTTCTACTTAAGGACACAAACTGGCACTGAAATAAACTAGCCAAATCTGACCATCCCTAAGGTCAGAGGTCCTGTCCCATATGTTCCTGAAACGTCACGCACAAGCACGTACACACATATACTTTTACACATTGAATAGGTTCTCTCTCTTATGATATCTGTTATGAATAAATTACTATTATAATTTCTACAACAAAGGCTATAATGATTAGTCGATTAATTGATTGTTAATTTAAATTACGATCGATCATTGGAATTTGTGAAAATTGACATCCCTACTATGACAGTATGACAGGTGTGAAAAGGACAAATTATCGACACTTCAAAAGTTAGAGGCTTTTCTCATGGTCAGTTTTAAGTGTTTATAGAAGCCTCTATGGATTATTATTTAAAATGGAATTGCAGTGTCATAGAGAAATTTCAAAGGTCACAAATAATAATTAAAAAAATATTTTTTAGTATTGATAAGAATTATGACAATAAAATGGCACTTCTGTAATATATAATAGAGTGAGCTGTAATTCTCTACTCACCATAGACAGTAACAGTGAATCTGTGTGTAGAGAACGAGATGCTGCGGCTGATCTCAACTTCATAAACTCCATAATGTTCAGTTCTGGGGTGTATGATGGTCAGAGATCCAGTCTTCTCGTCCAGGTCCAGTCTGTCTCTGAATCTCATATTAGGACCATAAAAGACCTCGCTCGTCACTCCATCAGTTTTAGCTATAAGAGGCCCGTTAGTTCCAAATCTCCACTTTATCACATCATTTCTCTGTATTTCAGCAGCATTAATCTTTAGAGTGACAGAATCTCCCTCCATCACTGACTTCAGTCCATCAGCAAACACTCCTGAAGAACACAAAGACACAGTCTCTCACTCACACATAATAAAGCAGCACCAATACCAAATAATTTAGTCTACCGCAGCCTACTGTTGCACGCACGCTCGCTGTTTATCCAGCACCGGCTGATTTCATTAAAGTAGGATCTATTGTGACATCAGTAACGAAGAAAAACGAAATAAAGACTATTGTTACGCTTGACGTAAAGCAAGTCAAATTAGTTTTCTTATGTCTCATTAGAACTACAGAAACGCGACCCGATCTGGCGATCTTACATAACGTGGCAGATATAGGACCGCAAAGTGGAGCCATAAGGGCCTTTCACCCTGTTACGACTTGATGAACCACTGAAACAATTTTGGAAACATTATTTTAGGGTATTTTAAACATTATTTTAGGGTATTCTCATTATTTAGGCGTCCCATTTAGCATTTTAACGCTCTGAAGTGTGCTCAGCAGCGCCCCCTTTGTACCCTTGAAGCGGTCTTCCACGAAGCCTGCATAGATGCAGGCTCCACGCACTTTAACTACCCAGGAATCCTTGCGAAATGCCAATCAGAAAACGGATGGGAGGAGATGTCGCTCACGGACTGTAAACATATTGAGATATGACATGTTGATTGCAGTACGACAAAAGGCTTGTTAAAATAAAGTAAATACAATCTCCTCAGTGACAGTCCCGAAATAAAGTCCGTTGGTGCTTCAGTGACTACTTCGCTCAGTGAACCTGTCAATCACAGCTGTCAATAATGATGTCTAACCACTGCATCAAAAACTAAAAAACTTCTTTTTAAAACAGAAACTTACAATAGCGTGATAAAAACTACAACCAATGACACAAACCACCTTTGGACAAATATTTGAAGTGTTATTAAATTGTTTAGTTGGTCTCACATCCCATTGAATTACATGGGGAGACGGGGTTTATGACCTATACTAGGACCGGTCACCGGGGGGCGATCGAGACGTTTTGGCTTCACTTTGAGGGCTTGTGTGGCACGCTTGGTTTGGACCAATAGGCCTTTGTCACGAAAAAATTGAAGACCGGAAGTACGTCTTTTAGGAATACGGCTCTTCCGGTTGGCTTTTTACAATGGCGAGTCCGATAGATACCGCTGGACCAAATCTCTCCGCACCCTGCCTGAAGTCCCATATGACGTTGTTATAGCTCTAGCCGTTCGCCAGAAAGGTTTCTATGGGAACAGTGAGTTGGACCAATCAGCAGACGTTGCTGCTACGCTTAGGATTGTGGGTAGTGTAGTTTTTCATAAAATCGCGGATAAAACATGTTTTTCTTAAAACAAGGTTAATTTCATACGAACTTATAGCTTCTACAGGAGCAAAAACCTTAGTTTCACAACCTCATAGTTCGTGGTCAGTCTACCTCGGATGGTTTAGACATTATGGCTGATAATCTAAATCCTTATCGAGAAATACTGTTGACCGGAAGTTCTGTATCCCTACTCCGCGTTCCGGAAGCAGGAAGTGTGACATAGGCATATGCAGCACGAGCCGATCTTCGTGTATTTTGTCAAGCGACACTGTTACTACACAGCGCTAAAGCCCCGTTCACACCGCCAGTGACTTTGTCGCTGTATGTCGCTAGGTTCTGTACTGTGAAGTCGCTTGTGGGCGTTCCTAGTGTTGTCGCTCTAATGTTATTGGTAGACTGCACGTCTGGCCATATCTATACAAAATACCATCACAAGTGATATATACAAATATATCATTTTAATTTGACTAGGAATTAGGCTCAAAAGAAATATGCTGTTGGGAGAGTGTTATATTACCACAGCAGTGTTCAGTGGAAATCATTTAACGATCGATCAACAAATTAAACTCACTCATACTGACATAAATTACTAAAACGTCATTCAAATTTGACAAATAATACATTTTCTTGTCCCTAATAGTCAACATAATGCAGGGGACACTGTAAAATGAACTGCAACAGTGCTAAACTTGCATCATGAAATTACAACACTCTAACTATAAATTAATTAAACTCACTAAGACTGTCGACAGTTTCTTTTCTATGAATCATTTTACTATATCCATGTATGTGGTTACAGTCAAATCATATAAAACCGTGAAATCGTCCTGGAAATCGTCTGTCTTGCCTGCACTCGAGACGTTGACTGAACGTCTTCTTTCCTATTGGTTGTTGCTCGCGAAAATCGCTTCTCATTTGCATAAAGTTGAAATTCTCAACTTTTGCCGCTTGTCTCTTGTCGCTTGACACGCCCACATTCTGTCACCAACGGTCACTGTCGCTCGTGTCCCTGGATGTCGCCAGCGCTCCATTGAAATGGATGGGATCATGTCGCTTTGTCGCTGCGTGACGCTGGCGGTGTGAACAGGGCTTCAGTAATAACATTGCTGCGAGATCTAGTGAGAAGCATTCACATTTCTCCGTTATTAACGGATCAAACAGCGTTGACGTGCAAACCAGGAAGAAACATTGTGTTATGAATGAACTATTCAGTGTCCACAGATCAGCAACATTCACCGTGGATTTACTGTAGCCTACACGAACTGTAACTTTGGAAGTTTGGCAGGAAAAGCAGGCTATAATGCTTTCAAGTAATATTGCGTGGGTTTTATTTTGACTTAATGAATACAGTTACTGCCCTCAAATGTTAATCTGAACTAAGATAAACCTTTGTTTATTACTCCTACTACAATATTACAATTTTTTTTTTCCAAGGAGCTGTTTTGTTTTATATGCTCATAAGAAAAGTCAAGTATAGCTCCATCATTGCTCATAGTAAAAAAAAAATATCATAGCCTACTTTATGATGTTTTAATAAAAATAATTAAAAATAAATAAATCAAGGAACTTTCTCTGGCATTTCTTTCTTTTTGCTGTATCGAAAACATACCGAACCGTGACACAAGTGTATCGTATCGAACCGTGAATTTTGTGAACCATTTCACTAGCCTGGCTGCCAGCCCGAACCCCGCCCACAACAATTTTTGGTCGGGAAGTTCGGTCTGGACTCGAACCGTTGAGGAGCTATTATGCCCGATCAAAAATTGTTCGGACCAATCAAATTGTCAGGGGGGGCTTTATACGATGATGGACAGATGAGCAACCATAGACATCATATCTATGTGAGCAACGGTAACGTAACCATCCACGTCATCAGAGCGCTTGGGTTGAATTCATGGCTGCCGCTGGAGAATTGAGTTGTGTTTATTCCGCTATCGCGTGTGTTATAGAAGATATAGACAGCGCATTCATTTTAGAAGAGGAACAGAGAACCGCAAAAAAAGGCATTTGTTGATGGAAAATATGTTTTGCCATCCTTCCTATCCTACGGGATTCGGAAAAAGTTTAATCTATCAACTTTAATCTATCTCTCAACATACGTCACTTACTCCGTTGCTCTGATTGGTTGTAGGTCTATCCAATTGAGTGCAGAGGCCTTTTATTTCCTGGTTTGGTTGACACGCCCCATAATCACAGCCCAATGGAGCAGTATCAGACTCACATTCTGACTAGAATATGAGTATGACAAAGTCAGGCTATCATTTCACCCCTAATAAACTCAATTCTGCCATCAAACAGGAATAACTGACTGAAAGTAAAGATGTCATGTCTGGTATTATAGCTTAGATTTGATAAATACATATAATTTACACTCACCTAAAGGATTATTAGTAACACCTGTTCAATTTCTCATTGATGCAATTATCTAATCAACCAATCACATGGCAGTTGCTTCAACGCATTTAGGGGTGTGGTCCTGGTCAAGACAATCTCCTGAACTCCAAACTGAATGTCAGAATGGTAAAGAAAGGTGATTTAAGCAATTTTGCTTGCCATTGTTCATCATGTCAATAATGCTGTAAACTGATTTCCTTCAGTCATTCTGCTTGTTGACAGCAGGTCCTCATCACTAATGCTCAATCATCAGTTAATTAATCACTTAATTAGATCATTAACTTCACCACTTCTTCAGTGTTGCTCTAACACTTGGCAAAGCTTCATAGACAAATCATTTCCAAAGGGGCGTCACCAACGGACTTCGCTCAAATGCCTCTGGGCGCAATTGGATACACCTAAATCAGAGCGATGAAGGAGATGACGTATGCAGAGCAACGGAGAAACCTCTCCAAGTGTTGTTCTTTGCTCGGGTTTTAACAAAAACGAAACGTTCAAATCGCTTAAACTTTTTTGGTAAAAAAAATATACTAATGTCATAGAACCCTTGCAAAATTATAAAAATACACTTTTTCTCAGGGGGATATATCCCCCACCACTTTTTGAAACATTAAGGCACGGATGTATCTAATACAAATAAATAAAACATTTCCAGTTAACTAGCAGAGCCTTCATTTAGTTTGCTATTAAATAAGAGATCTAGCGCTTAAAGCTGTTGTTTTTGAAATCAAGCTGAGCGCTCGTTTCCGCTGTTATCATCAGTGTCATGGATACAGTGTTCTGTTGTGGCTCGCACGCAGTCTTCACTCGGACGCGCGCTTCAATCTATCGCCGTTGCAGACTCCGGTGATTTCACAAAATAAAATGCACACAAACGTCTCCCTGCTTGATATAGACTGTAACCACTGATGAACATATTAAGTTTTAATGAGAGAGAGAAAAAAACTATAAACTTGTGGATTGATGATTTATTTATGGGTTGAGAAGAGAGGCTGCACAGTTTGGTGACCCATGCCTTACGGCATTGGTCCTGGCTTTTGTTCACACAGAGCGCGTTCCGGGACTGATTCCGGCAATGTTACTAGGTCCTCAACCCGGCATCGATGCCGGTATCAATCACGGGTCGTGTTTGCGTTCACACAGAAGGCGTTCTGGCATTTTCCCGGGATCAACGCGCTGTGTGAAAGGGGCTTAGAGGCTTTTCTCATGGTCAGTTTTTAGAAGCCTAAATGGATTCATATTTAAAATGGATTTGTGCCATAGAGAACTTTCAAAGATCACAAATAATTAAATATATTTTGTAGTATTGAGAGGAATTAACATTAAAATGAATACTTCTCTACTTCTGACAATAAAATGGCACTTCTGTAATATATGTGAGCTGTATTTCTGTACTCACCATTGACAGTAACAGTGAATCTGTATGTAGACGATGGGCTGCGGCTGATGTCAACTTCATAAACTCCAGCATGATCAGGTCTGATGTTCATGATGGTCAGAGATCCAGTCTTCTTGTCCAGCTTCAGTCTGTCTCTGAATCTCCCATCAGGAACATTAGGGATCATATTGATCTCTCCACTGTCTCCACTGGTTTTAGCTATAAGAGGCCCGTTAGTTCCAAATCTCCAGTTTATCACATCATTTCTCTGTATTTCAGCAGCATTAATCTGTAGAGTGACAGATTCTCCCTCCATCACTGACTTCAGGTCATCAGCAAACACTCCTGAAGAACACACAGACACAGTCTCTCACGCACACATATTAATGTGAAGTGTAATACTGATTTAACTCACGTTTAAAGTAGTTTTGAAATGATTGCAAACTTTGGAAAGGTAAAAGATAGAAACAGTGGTGTGGAAAATTAATGTCCGGGTGCAAAATACAGATATCTGAATTCATATCAGATATTTTACATTTTAAGTTTTGTTTCAGTAGGAGTTCGGAAAGTACATAGAACAGTGTCAATCCCCATTTATTTATTTTTTGATTGATGGGGGAACTGAAGTTCATTAGAGATCATACATGTTACTTCAAATTTTTGTGCCATCAAACAGGAATTACTGACTGAAAGTACAGATGTCATGTTTGGTATGTTATAGCTTCGATTTGATAAATTCAAATCATTTAAAAACAAATGTTTAATGTTGATGAGACTAATGCACTAAATCTGTATCTGAAACACAAACGTGAATCCAGTCCACATCTCATAGTAATATCTAGGAATAAAAGCGAGAGCACTTCTTCTGACTTTGTTTACTGATGTACTATTAATAATCTCTAACTTCTACCAGAACACAAAATAATGTTAGTACTGTAACTTACCATCCAGACGGCAAAAGTAAAGCCAGAGAAAAACGAATGTTTTTCCTTTTAACATTTTCTTCAGACAGCTCTGAGTTTTGAAATAGGGGTTAAAAAAAATTTCTGAGAGCGATGTAGACTCTAGTTAAGTTATGTAGAAAAAAAATCCACGTACTTCTGTCTTTGTGTCTCGGCTGAGTGAGCAAGTGTGTATTGTGATGACGGCGTGGTCCGGTTTTGCAACAGTGCTATTTTTCTGCTGGGGGGGGGGGCTGCTTGCCATGGTTCATCGTGTCAATAATGCTGTAAACTGCTTTCCTTCAGTCATTCTGCTTGTTAACAGCAGGTCTTCATTACTAATGCTCAATCATCAGTTAATTAATCACTTAATTAGATCATTAACTTCACCACTTCTTCAGTGTTGCTCTAACACTCTAGTGTGGACTCATTTGTTCATTAAACCCCGAGGAATTTGCTGTGGGGTTAAAAGGGTTAAAGGTGTAAGATGAAAAAAACATAGTGAAACTTAATTTAACAGTAATAAACTGTAAATTAATTTACAGCAACAAACCATAGAACAACAGTAATTTACTGTTTGTAACGTCACAGGTTGATGTGGTGCAGAAATTATTTTCTATTGGTTTTGCTTTGGTATTACACTTAACAATACGATTATTTATTAAACCATGTAACTGTGTGACACCAACACTATATACATTTTTTATGATATCTCTTCAGTTTTCTCCGTGTTAGCTCTTGCAGCTCTGACGTCATTGACCAGAAGAACAGCAGCGGCCGCAGAAGCCACGCCCATCAGCGCAGTGACGACCAATCGCAGCACGGCTTCAACTGAATCACAACAGGGGGTGTGGCCTTCTGAAAAACAAATGAGCAATGATAAAACAGAATTGAAATTTTCAACAAGCTGATTTTTATTCTCTGTCAGAAACTCAGATATCAGCAAAAGATATCTGCAAAAACTCGACTTGAAGAACGAACGACTCGAAACCGAAGAGACGAACTAATGAACAGAATGAATGGGAGTCTATGGAGCTAAACGGCTAAATTTGTCTCTTTCACCCGATTGCCGTTGATAAATCTCAGATTTGATTCTAGGTTTTGCAAGTTCAACATGGGTTATAGGTCGAAAGTTGAATGAACGAGTACTTATGTCCTTTCGATTTCTTACAGGTTGAGTTGTTGTTGCCCATAACACGCTAGCATTCTGCTAATGGACGCTGATTGGTCAATGAAGGACTGATTACGACCAGAGACACCGCTTGATGGCATCCGAAGCGGGACCAATGATAAGGCGGACTTAACTCTTCTAACTGTGTTGTATATCAAATAAACTGACACAACCCTGTCTATTTTTGTTAAATTTCAGTTTTATTGATAAGTAATAGCCATTATAACAGTATAAGTAGCCTAAAAGGTATAAGAAGTTATACAAAACAATAAACAAAGTAAACGATTCAGACAAACATACAGCAGGATACAACGTTAAAATAGCCTAAATATAAAGTTATGAAACTTCACTTTGCCCTCAGCCAAAACGATTTGCCAGGGAAAAAATTATAGATTAATGAGACCAAAGATCGCCCGTTAGATATACACAAGACGAATTATATCTCATGTTTAACCCACTAGACTAGCGAGCGGCACACCGTCAGACGCACTAGCCGAGGTGAGGCTGTTCCAGGCGGGGTACATGAGCGCTGAGCGCCCGCTGATCCCTGGATCTCACAACTCCGAAAACGTCAGATCAAATTTTTAAATAGGCGCTATCTTTATAAATAAACCACAGATTTGAGCTTTAAACAACTACATTGTCGTCTGAAAAACTATTAAAACTACATTTCGTGACACAATAACAGTAGTATTTTTAAATTTCCCGTCTGTCTATGTGACAGCACCAAAGGATTGCAGGCGCTATCTTTATAAATAAACCACAGATTTGAGCTTTAAACAACTACATTGTCGTCTGAAAAACTATTAAAACTACATTTCGTGACACAATAACAGTAGTATTTTTAAATTTCCCGTCTGTCTATGTGACAGCACCAAAGGATTGCCGTAAAGCATGTCTCTGGTCGTACGATGTGTATGACGTCATTGACATTTTAAAAGACTTTTTAAAGCAAATAAGTGACTCTAAAAAATCTAACACCCAGTAATGTGTAATTTCTTTGCATCTCCTTTCGAATACAACATTCAAATTACTAGACAAAAAAATTATATCCTGAGAAAAGTGGATTTTGAGGGGTATAGCTCTATAGACCTCCATTCATTCTGCACTCCGCCTGTGAGCGCCCTCATATGGAATCAGAGTGGAACTGCAACCAGTTCAGAAGCCGGAAGTTTACTGAGTGGGAGTTCTCCCCATATTAGACATTCTCTGGTAGTCGTAAATACGCTGTCATTAATAATGTTTGATATAATGTATTTTCTGTTTGTCGATGTTAATCAGATTAGCTCACGTTCAGTCACTGCATTATATCTGTCATCTCTCCACGGAGGCTTTGCGTTTCATTGCTGTCTAATTCAAAACAGGGTGATTAAACACTGTCTGTCACGTGACGTGCTAGGCCTCCTAGACCTTCAATAAATTAATCATATTTATATCAGGTTTCAGTAGTACAATTAGCTCCAAAGTTGTATTTGTAGAAGAAGCACAGTAAAAACAACACTTATACCATGCTTTTACCACAGTAACGTTAGTTTTACTGTGATATATGTGGTAAAAGGACTGTAACCACAAAACTTGCCATGCTTTTACCACAGTAATGTTAGTTTTACTGTGATATGTGTGGTAAAAGGACTGTAACCACAAAGCTTACCATGCTTTTACCACACTATTGGTAGTTTTAATGTGATACTTATTATTGTAAATGCACAGTAACTACAACACTTACCATGCTTTTACCACAGTAACCCTAGTTTTACTGTGATATGTGTGGTAAATGGACAGTAACCACAGAACTTACAATGCTTTAAACCTCAGTAACCTTAGTTTTACTGTGATGGATGTAGTAAAGGACAGTAAATACAAACTTACCATGCTTTTACCTCAGTATTGGTAGTTTTAAAGTGATTTTTGTTGTAAATGCCTACTAATCACAACACTTACCATGCTTTTAATGCTTAATAATGTAACATCCAATATTTGTAAGTTAAATCAGTACTTTTTCCTTTAAATAATCCTATATATTATACATAATGATATTTTATTTTCTCTTTTTTCAGCAGAAAAGACCAAAAGGGCCTTTCGGACTCAGTCGACCCATTATTGTTGGAGGAGAAGTTAACTGAGGAGACGGAAAGCTGCAAAGGCAAATATTCGCAATGGTATGTATGTATTGGTTTTAACCCTAAATCAAACATTCTATCAAGCATTTGTTGTTTCTTAAACCTTTTCTTACAAAACCCATAGCTCAATCAGTACAAACATAGTCTCAAAGTCTTAATAATTCACAAGATTTAACAAGTTGATCTATCATTTTTTCCCTGGCAAATCGTTTTGGCTGAAGGCAAAGTGAAGTTTCATAACTTTATATTTAGGCTATTTTAACGTTGTATCCTGCTGTATGTTTGTCTGAATCGTTTACTTTGTTTATTGTTTTGTATTACTTCTTATACCTTTTAGGCTACTTATACTGTTATAATGGCTATTACTTATCAATAAAACTGAAATTTAACAAAAATAGACAGGGTTGTGTCAGTTGATTTGATATACAACACAGTTAGAAGAGTTAAGTCCGCCTTATCATTGGTCCCGCTTCGGATGCCATCAAGCGGTGTCTCTGGTCGTAATCAGTCCTTCACTGACCAATCAGCGTCCATTAGCAGAATGCTAGCGTGTTATGGGCAACAACAACTCAACCTGTAAGAAATCGAAAGGACATAAGTACTCGTTCATTCAACTTTCGACCTATAACACATGTTGAACTTGCAAAACCTAGAATCAAATCTGAGATTTATCAACGGCAATCGGGTGAAAGAGACAAATTTAGCCGTTTAGCTCCATAGACTCCCATTCATTCTGCACTCGGACGATCGCCCCCAGTGGAACTCTGGTGGAACTACAACCAAAATTCGGTACAATAGGACTTAATAGGGAGTGGCCAGGCTTTCCGTAGACGGGCTTTGCGACTACTTACCAACATCTGGCACACGTGTCGTGAACTGGTGCCAAATATCGCGATGTGTTCGGGACGAGACTTCTTCAGCGCGATTTCCTAATAAAATATCATTTAATAAAATAAACAGCATAGTGTTGTGTATTGATGTGACGTCATCGACGTCATCAGGTACAAAGTGGAGATAAAGGACGGATGGAAGTTATATCTGGTGTCTGTGTGGTTCGATCCGAAATAACTAGAAAGTATATAACATTGGCGACGAGGATGCTACAACAAGGACTCACTCGTTAGTTGAATCTGAAAGTGAGTTAGAGGTGCGTCACGCCGACTAGTTTATCTCAGTTAACTGAAGTCTGATACAGCACGCGTTAAAGATGGACGGTACTGTTCCTAAGTTCGACTGCTACAGTGATCCAGCCACGTTGGGTCCGCGATGGACAAGATGGTTAAATGCATTCGAACTTTTTGCCGATGGAAAGGGTTTGATCCTGACTGACGATGCACCTGACGCTACAAAGCAAAGAAGGCGAGCCTTGCTCTTACATCACGCTGGGACAGATGTCCAGGATATTTTCTCCACACTCGCTGACACAGGAGGGCCAACTGGTTACGTGCAGGCAGTAACAGCACTGAACGCATACTTTGTGCCTCAGGTAAACACGGCGTTTGCAAGACAGTCGTTTTATCAGCTAAAGCAGAAAACGGGACAGACCGTGCAACAGTTTACCACATGTTTAAGGCAAGCGGCAAAAGATTGTGATTTTGGAGCTGATAAAGACAATCAAATTAGGGATGCTGTTCTGAGTCGGTGCAGCTCTAAATACGTGCGTAGGAAACTGCTGGAGGAAGGAACGGCTTTGACACTTGCTCGCACTCTAGAAATCGCAGCGCAGTGCGAACGTGTTGAACTGCAGATGGCGGCGTTGCACATTTCTCCAGACACTGAAGAGAAAGAGACGGTGAGTCTTGTGTC